TGATTTCAGCCAGCTGCTTTGACTTAAGCATCCGTGGAGGTTCACTGTCTCTCTCTCTCTCCCAGAGGAGTAGAACAGAGACATTCTTACATTCAACAGTAACACCTGTACCCTACCTGAAAGCTCTATTGATGCACAAATGCATATATTAGCTTGGTGTAGTCATTAAGCTGTCAATGAATCAGAAACATGAGCCATGCTACAGTCTGCTAAGTCAAGTGTTATGCTGTCACATAAATTAAAGCAAAAACCGCCGGTGCAGCAATGCTTGTGCAAATGTGTCAAGAGACATGACCAGCAACATCATTTAATAATGAACAACTTGCATTGGTCTTAACAATGCCGTGAAAAGGCAGTAACGACATTTAAAAAATGAATAAATCATTGAACATTTCAGTGTAAACACTACTGGTGATGTTGTTTAAATGCCTGCACACTCAGGTGGGTTCACTTGACCTGATGATCAGGCCACTGTGGAGATCGGAGTTGGCCACAACCGTGCTTTGAGTTTTTAATGTCTACCAAACTCCAAACATTTAAAAAGACATGAAAAGATGGGAGTAGAAAAGGAGAGTAATGGAGATTTGGAAGAAATGCAGTTTGAACATGGCCCTGCAGTTCAGAGAAAATGTGTAATTTAGCAAAACAAGTAAAAACAACCGGGGTGAGTAAGCCATGTGCCCCAGTATGGTAAGATTTAACACTAAAGTATTCTCAATTTATCTTACATAGTTTAATACAGAGATTAAGTGGCAAAAATATTTTATATTTATTGTGTATATTAGGATTAACTCCTGACGAATGTTTATGTATTTCATACCTCCTTACCGGAGGGCCTGACAACCAAATATGCACCTCATTGGCACACTCGGCTATGAAACACTGACAGGAAAGTGTCAGGCAGGCACGTGAGAACCACAGTAAATAATAGCTCCATGCGCTAAAAACTATACCCGATTTAATATGTTCCATCAGCTATTCCTTTTGCATGGCTCTGATTATAAAGTACTACGATAATAAGCTCTGAATTCCACATGTGTGCTTTACTCGAACCTTGCACTTGACGTGCCACCAAGCAGTTACTTTTTGCATTAGGATAAATGTTTGTTGACTTATTTCACAAAATTCCAGTCTAAATAGCTATAGTTTATGATTTCCCACATCCCCACTTTTTATTTAATGTTATCAAGACCAAAATGCTTACCGAGTATAATTATTTCCAACTAATTCCAAATACAACAAATTATTTGTATTGGGCACTGCCATTGCTGTTTATCATTTTAGCTTTAGGTGATATTTGTTTTTTTTTATTGTACGCATTCGTGCCGGTACTACATGCATAATTCAAAGGCCTAAATGTGACCATTGTGCAACCGCCTTCTCTCTGAGTCACCAGTACATCGCAAAATGCTCAGATGAGCTGTCAGTTCCATTTTGACTAATTGTCCTGAGTCATTCTCTTTTTCAAGCTACGAGTGGCAATAGAAAAAGAACGCCAATCACAGAGAGAGTGAGAGCGAGCGAGGGAGAGGGAGGGTTGGAGAGAGAGCGAGAGACCTCAAGCTGTTGCCAGGGCAACCTTCTTTCATGGAAAAACCTTCTTGAAACAGCTGTTGTGATCTTGTATGATTAAGCATGTGCTCTAGTCACAGTGAGCTCTCCTGTTGCCTAATGACAAGAGGTGGAGGGAATAGAAAAAAGGAGGAGGAGGATGATCGCGACGAATATATATATTTATTTATTTTTCAAGTGTGTCAACTAAGAGATCGCTTCTCTTAGAAAAGATTAGCAGACCACTTGAAAGAGAACAGGGATTTTGCCGGAGAATGAGAGAATGAGAGGGATGGGGGCGCTGGAAGAAACGAGAAGCAAAGAAAATATATGACGAGCCCTGGAGCTATATACGGATTTAATTCAAAGTCCAATGCCAGTGAGCCAATAAAAACTTGCAGTTAAAAAGAATGCTTGCTGTATTACCCCACATATTAAAGGTACTTTGAATATTACATTCTACTATATTGCTGATTCGGAGCATCCAGAAAAAGTCTACATCTGCTTGAAAATTCAGATGTGAAAAAGAGTGAAAAAGAGAGAATCAACAACCCATGGTAAAAAGTATTTTTTACTGTAAAATGAAGCTTCGCCATTACTCAGCAGTGTTTGGTTTGCCTCGATCTCTCTGTATCTCCATATTCCGACAGAGTCGTCCCTGGCACGGTTCATCTGCTGCAGAGTTTTTGGTCGTAAAACGGCACACTGTTTATTCAGACCGGCTTTCTCGCTTTTTTTACGACGAGGTTCCATTTCATGTCATGCAACAGCACCAGCGAGATTAACAAGTTTGTGGGGCAGGTGTGAAAAAGGATAGTTTCATCTTGATTTCTTTCTTTTTAAAATGTAATCTCTAATAGCATGGCCCCCAGTTGTTGGCTCCAAACATGAACGTGTTATCGGGCACTGACTAAAACACATATCTAAAATGGTAAAGCACACAAAATGTTTGGTCTATTTACATTTTGTTAAAACATCTTTTCGTTTTTCCAATAAGACAAGGAAAAATGCCAGTGGTGTAGTTAAACACCAACCGTCATCGCTGGTAATTGACTTAAGTAATACATTTGCGACTTCAATTAGTTGTTCAATTGGGTTTATCATTTTCAAGCAGACTTGCTTGAAAAGACAAAAAGCAACATTAACTCATGCATATTGACACAGAAATCAAACAACGAGCCTTGGTGTTTCCTTTTTTTTTTATTTGGATCCTGCTTCTGAAACTTGACACGTCTGTTTCTGTTTCTCCTCTGTGCCTTTTTTTTCTTGAAAACCCTTTTCATTATTCTTCATCCCAGTTTTTACTCCATCCCTGGCACCCGTCCGTCGGTCCCTCTAGTCTTTTTCACAACCAGAAGGCCAGTGTTTGATAATGACATATCAATCCGTAATGTACTCTGGTCATGACTCACCCACAGATGGCTGCGAGAAATACCCCCCTCCTCCCCAGCGATGCCCCAGTTCGAATAAAAAAAAACTGTCCGAGGGAGTCAAGCTGTGCTCTTTCGCGTGGTGGGATATTGAAATGAGGTGATTTTGATGCAGTGGAGCAGGGTGCCGGGGCGGTGGCGACTCTCCCTGATAATTTGGAATGTGGGGCTTCTGATAAGTCATAATTATACACGGTGCCCAGGAAAAAACACGCATGTAGGGAAGCTGCATTTCCTCCCTGTGTGCATCAAAACGGTCATACATTAGAAACATAAACCGGGCGCGTGTTGGAAGGAAAGTGTCAGTCAGGCCGGAGCCGGGGAGGAGGACAAGGACGCAGAGAGGTTTGACTGCTAGAGATTTATTCCAATAATTCCTATATCTAATAATACCAAATACAAAGATCCTTTCACAAGCTAACACTAACGCAGGTGTGGACATGCATGACTACAAGACACACTGGCACAGGACAAAGGGAGACGCAGACAATAAGTATCCATGAGGGAGGTGAGGGAACAGGTGGAGACAATTAGGAATCAGGGGAGACAATTGACAGGAGACACCTGAGGAAGGGCAAGGCACCTGAAACAAGAGGGGGTTTAGACGGCACAATAAAACAGGAAGTATCAAAATCAGACGTAAGACGGGACACAAACACAAACTTCACCAACAAGTATGACAGAAAGACCCTTGTTTGAGCACTTACTTTGATTCCATCCATGCAGGTATGTTTTGGGGAACTTCTGATTGGTATATTTGGAAATATTCCCAACACCTGCAGTGAGGAAAACCCCTGTGTGGGCGCAGAGGGCTGAAGACTTGGCGACAGCAGGGTGGCAATGAGACTAAGACAACGGCGAGGAAAAGGCATCAGACTCTTCATATTTTATCACATTCGGCCTCCCCCTCCCCCCCCCCCCTTTTTTTTTCCGAAGCTGGTTTTCTGTATTACATTCGAAGGTGCTGGAGAGCTCGAAGCAGAAGAGGACAGGATGCCACATGGCAATATTTGTGTTGAGACATTGCTGTGATCTCGTCTGCATTAGACCTGACAACTGCTAATGGTCATCTGCTCTCGCTGCTGTAACTGCTGCTCAGATTCACACCAGATTGTTTTGGTACTAACAGTATTATGATTACCTCAAAATGCCAGAAGATTGTTTACTTGCCGATGGGTGGGCCGACACTGTGGTAGTTTAACGGCATAGAACAAAGAATTGATGCAATCCATTGGAAAGCCAGCCCCCCCCTCAACTGACTATCACAGCGACGCTGCTGCTGCGGCTACCTTCAACATGTGCCTCGTGCATGTTTTTACACAATGAATGTGCTCTATCTTGGTTAATGCCCACACATTTATTATGCTTAACCTGTTTCTTTCTGTTGTGGGAATTCAAATTGTGATAAATAGACCAACCGACCCAATGCAGATACACCAGCCAGTCATTGACAACTCAAACTACGGCCACGCTGCAAGTCAGCAATGCGAGTTTAGTCTCAGGAGTCATCGATCAACATTGTGCTCTAGTGGAGGCAAGTGTATACAAATAAAAAAAAAGCCTGATGTTTACATTCAGTGTACATGCAAAATGAAAAAAAATAATAGCAAATTGACGTGTTGCATTTCAATATTGACGGACAAATCAAATTGTGGGACTCTTTGATTTACTGTTGGGAAACATTTTAGCTTATTTTCCAAACACTTGCTTTCCTCACCAAACTTGAGACAACCCCAATGTTAAATGATACCTGTTTATTAGGGATATTTGAACCCCCGTTTCATTGCCATGTAATGATACGTCTTTAGTGGGAGGAAGTTTTGAATTCTTCTTTAGTGGCATTCCAAGAATTTGTCAGTAATGACAGTGCATATACATTAAATGTGTATGTTAATCAGCACAATCCAATTAATTACATTAGCTGAGAAGCATACAGGCCTCCGCATTGCTGTTTGTAGTTGGCTAAACCCCTTTCTTACGTAACCCCAGCTTCTTGATTTACACAACTCAGTTTGTGGATAACTTGCATTAAATCTTTATTCGTCTGAAAGGTGTGTGTGTGTGTGTGTGTGTGTGTGTGTGGTGGACTGAGAGAGGCATGCAGGACGAAAGGATAACGTTTGAGAAGATCTACTTCATGAAGCTGCATTAAGTTGCCGTCGGAGCAAACACTCCGCAGCGACGTAGCTGGACCAAACCGTAGCGGGCGATCTAACAAACGAAACGCACCAGCCGGAGCGCGTAGCTCTCACGGCCTAAAATGCTCCCGTCGTAGCTCTGGGAACGATGTGGGCCTCATCACTGGAATCTCTCCCGGACTATCGGCCATCCCACCCATGTTCTGGTCTGGGGTGTTTTGCAGCAAGCAGCGGCTCCATTACGACAGGCCCTTTTCTTGTCACGTCGTTGAAGCCAATATTCTTTTTTTTCTTTGCAAACAAAGAGGTTCACCGAAGGCGCCGCAGGCTGATAGCGCTAATTGGTGGAGTGTTTGTTCTGCAAGCATTCATGATAGTAGATGTGAATGCAAGGGAGGCAGAGGGGGAAGCTGGTAGGAGTGGTGGACGTGGGTTGAGACAAAAGCATGTGTCACAGTCCTTTCTGTCTGTTGGCGGCAATAAGCATGTTTAGGTTGAAGATCTTGGAGACAGCTGAAAGGAACCCGGACATGAAGTATGTAGTAATTCTCCCCGCCTGTTTGTAGATTAAAAAAAAAAAGGTACAGAATTGATTTATTCTTACTGAAAGTATGTATTAAAACATCTACCATTTGCACCGCAATGAGCTCCAAAAACCCCAAAAGTGATTTTGACAAGGCAGTTTTCGAAGAAGGGTGTATTGTATCGAGGGCATAGTGTAGCGGTTTTTACATTTACAATGTTTCCAGTCTTTATGCAAACATACATGACAGCATTCCTTGTTTTAGCGGTAAGTATACAAGGATAAAGGATTAGAGGCCTTAATTTATTCCCCAATGCTCTCAAAGTAAAAAAAAAGACTCCTGTGTGTAAATTCATCTTCCATGTCCGCAAGGCTACGACATCTCAGTCACATCTAGTTTGAGACTTTCTATTTGCTTCAGTGCTGGGCGGAGGCCCTTGGGTTGATGCAGAGGAAATAAGTTCAGGGTTCAGCAGAACAAAAACACTTGGGTTAAAGTGACACTGTAGGATTCTGTGGGCTCTGTGGCATAAAACCACCAGCAAACAAGTTTGCAGGGTTGAGGCCTTTTCTCTGAGAAGAAACCAAAAGAGGAAGAGGGAAGAAGGAGAGGGAGGGAGATATTTCCTTAAAAGCCTGGAAACCTTTTTTCATCCCTGGGCAATATAGTTTAAAGATGGGTCATTGGACAGCATCTATTTAGAGCACACTGGAGGCCTCAAACTCAATTAACAACTGTTCAGAAAAGTTATTTATCAGTAACAGTGATATTTTTTTTTGCTGGCTTCCTTTTGACACAAATATTGAGTGAGCGAGGGGCTGTCACTGTGTGATGGGGCCGTCAGAGATTGGCAAAGAAATGTAATTTTCACCACTCATTTGAACAAAAATACTATTCCAACTGCACGTGAAAAAGCAAAGCACCTGTAACGGACTGAAAATGAAATATGTTCAGTTCTTCTACCTTTCTCCCGGCAGCCATTTGATTTGTTTTTCAAGCAGAAGCATCATTGACTCTGCAACTCTTCCATTGAGGGGAATGCATCTGATGTGATTTGACTGATTCGAGAACAGTAATGTGTTTGTTTTCTTCAAGTGTGAAGTTGTGCCTTATGTATTAGGTTATTTGGGTATTATCACGCTTGCACGTTCAAACACTGTGCCGTGCTGTTGCAAACATTCATTCCCCATTGTGCCTCCGTGTCATTATTGAACAGCAGTGGCAGATTGTTCCGATGGGCCTGAGGATACTGTGTTGTCTGCTGATGTGCTGCGGTGAATGCAAACGAGGTTCCATTGCGAGAAGCTATAAGGTCCATTTCGGGAATCACTTTCATGAAGGATCGTGTTTGAAAGGGCTAGAACATTATGTTCATCGGGGATTCTGTATAAAAATGTGGTAAAGGGACATATCGCATCTCATTTATTGGACTGGACTGTGGTCTATTTCACACGGGGAGAGTCCAGCTATCTTCTGCTGTTCCGTATTGAGAGGCTTGTCAAATGGCTGGAAATGCTTAACTAAAAAATATCAATTGGGGCTTTTCAGATCCTTTTATTTAGAGTTACGGGAGATACGTGTCGCTACGGATCCCTGATCCTATTTCTACTCCACAACGTGATGGTCTACTTTCTGTTTCAAGGCCTAAAATTATTCAATTGCATTGTCCCCAGGTTGCTAATACTCAGTTTACAGAATGCAGCCAAGCTAAGCAACTGAAATGTGCATCAGCACTGAGACTGGTTTGGGCAACCGAAGAAACGTGCAGCATGTTCTTTACACATTTTACCTCAATCTAATAGTTGATCACCGCGGTTGCCATAACGCGCACCGACATCGTTCAAAGCCATTGGTCTGGATGATGACTTATGTGTCAGACAGACCTACACGTACAACGATGAACACTCACGGTGACCAACACAAACAACTTGATGATGAAGTACCTGAGGGAGACGTGGGTAGGCACAAAGAGTCAGTTGGTGATTGGTGACGTTACAGTCGGTCTCCACCCGTCACAGCCTAGGAACAGCGCGGCGTTACCTCCCACTGGGCTCTGGGGAGAAGGACTTGCAGCAGATGGATGGGCTGATACAGGAGGGATCTGGTTCATAGCATGGTTTTCTATATGCGGGCTGAAAATATGGGTCAGTAACACATTTACATCTTTTATAATGTTGAGCGTTTACACCGAGCGCTCCAAATTACAACTCCCACTCTCCCATCCCCATCACATTGTTGCCAAGGTGATGAATCAGAAAATCATTTAAAAGAAAAACGGGAAATACAAGGACAGCAAAGCGAGTTTTGATTGCCTTTTGTATCGAAGTTTTTCAAGATACAGGCGAGTGCGGAATAGACACGTTGTGTTATTGATTTGCAGAAACACCACAACAGCAACCTCGTTTTGTTTCTGCCGCTTCCTCGTCTGAGTGCTTTTGGAAAGATGAGAGGAAAATCCTTAATTTTTCATTCTTTTTGTCAGAATCTTCAAACAGTCACTAAAATATCCCCCCCGTCCCTCTGGCGTGCTGCAAGAGGAGGCCGTCTTGCCGGCTACTCGCCTTGGCACTGGACTTGCTTATGCTTCGCTCACCAGAAAAGGGAGAATGAGAGACAAACAAAAAGGTACGGAGAGAATGAGAAATAAATGACGGTGGGGGGGGATTGACAGGGGGAGAAAAGTGAAAGCGAGAGGAGAAGAGAGGATGGAGGAGGGGGTCATGCTGCAGTCATCTGGCTGCTTTCCAAGGCCAGTGTTTCTACTAGTGAACAAACAAAATACTCATCTCAGCCAAATATAGCATTTCCCTTCGTGTGCGGGCCTCGAGGAGGGGTGGAGGTCAGAGAGGTCGAGTGTGTTTGTGTGTGTGTGTGTGTGTGGGAGGGGGGGGCAGGGGGGGGATGTTCTGTCCCTGCAGAATGGCCCCCGACCTGCAAGATGCCACCTGAAGCAGAGAGTGGCAATAATAACCAAGAGGTCCAGTTCGGCTTCCCCTGTTTGATGAACTCTTCCTCCAGCATCACAACTTCCTCCTCTTCCTCCGCGTGTCACTCTGCCCCCTCTTCTGCCGCTATCTCCTGTATTATGCTGAAATGAGCCGGACTTCACCTCCCCCGTCCCCGAGGGTTAGTTGTTGGCGCGTGACAAACAGCACAGATGACAACCTGCCCCCCTCCCTTTGCCTAATCTGGAATCCGATCCAATTTCACCCCCTGCCTTTACATCAACCGCCCCACCCCCACTCTTCTTTCTTATCTCGGTCTGCTTCTCTCGTTTTTTGTTTTTTTTCCATCGACACCAGTTCAGAGCGTTGAAAATGAAGTGCCGCCGTTGGCCGCCGCCGATGGGCATTCATAATTCACACGGCAGCCAATGCGGCAAGAGAATAGAAATTAAACACAGGTTTTAGTTCTTGCGTGAGCGGCGGTGAACCGGCGAAGCAGGACCTGACCGGCGTTTGTAAGCGTGTGTGCATTCAGTGGGAAGCATCCACGCTCACTCAGGCTTCAATGTTTTATCATTACAGCAAAACATATTGCATTTAAACTCCCTGCAGGTATTTGATGGAAGCCAGGAGCAATGCTGGCAGAGGCTGCTTTCTCAGTTGGTATGAGACAAACGCTCACAGTATATTTTCATTTCAACTACCCCTGGAAAGCAAACCACGGCCAATTTCCCTAAACATGCATCAGTGTGTGTGTGTTACCCAAACCCTTACCGTCTTCCTCTGAGCAGGTTTTCTGTTTTTAAAAGAACACAACATGAGAAAGGAGGATGCCTGAAGTCGGTGCCTTGAAGGCTTTGAGGCCGGGTGTTGCTTGACACAAACAGAGGCGCAAATAAAAGTCCACCGCCGGCTTTGACCGGGTGAAGCCCGGCACCCCCCACCCCCCCCATCGCCATCGCGCTTGTGTGGTAAAGAAACCCACGGGTGGAGAGCTACGAAGCTACGATGGAGGTTCAGCACCCTCTCAGCACCCTCAACCCCCCCCCCCACACACACACACACAATGAAAAATCAACAAAGGGAAAGTATACACGCCGGTTTCGAGGCGTTATCAAGCATAACGCGGGGGTAATTTGTCCGAATCAAAACACCAGATGGTGTTTCACTGTGATCAGAGTTAAATTGAGGCCAGGAAATGTTCATTACAGGTTGCCGCCAAAGAAAGGGCCAAAATTAATCACAGACAGGAAATTCACACCTCCTGAGTAGGTCAACCACTTCCTGTCTTTAGACAAATACACAGGGAGACAGACAGAGGCCGCGCCACCCTGCGGCTGGCCATGACAAGCTATGCAAATTGACATTCCCTGCGTGCACAACAGACTTAATGATGGAATACTGATGGTATTTTAAGCCGATGTCTCTCTATTTGACGTGCTCTGCGTAGACGGAGCCGAACCTGTGAACTCCAGGTGCGAACGATGATATTTCGAGGAACGGCGCTGACCTGCCTTCGAGCCTGACATCCTGGATGGAACAAATGTCTCCAGATAATAAAATTCCCCTGAAAACTTTGGGACTTTCCTGAAGTGACATAAACATAATTTTTGTGCATTTTAAAGCAGATTTCCTTTCTACATAACCAGCCCTTTAAATTGAAGATCTGTGTATTTGGCACTACTGTAAAGTATTCTCACTCCCAACTAGTCAAGTGCATCCGCTTGGCCAAGGGCTGTACTCCTGTGACGCTCTGTGCGTCCATCCTGACGTTGTTTTTTGCACTCGTCACATGCACACTGTGTAAAACAAACCTCTCCAATGTAGGACTACTTACTCTTTCCAGGTCACTTTCTTACTCGCTAAGGCTCAGGGACAGATGGTGGTCCGGGTTGAGTACGTTTGTGACAAAAAATAACTTGTCGTTGTTTTAATTCCTGAAAGACAGAATAAGTTGACGTTGTTCCGCACAGAACAAAAGCAGCAGGGTGAGGGTCTGTGTTTTGTTTGACATGTGGGTTTACGTTGGAGTCTGTTGAAAGCCCAACGCGTCTGATAAGGACACTAGTGAGTCCGACGGTAGGCTGTCAGATGCTGAGGGCCAAAAGAACACTATCTGGGTTGTTGCGAGTTACTCACAATTAAAATTAATAAGGAAAACCATATAGCTATATATATCTATATATTATAATTATACAATGCTGAGATTAATGAGTCAATCTGATGAACACAAGAAAAAGTTCTTATTAATATATGATTTGTATTATCATTCTTGAATTTTTTACTATATATACTTATAATTTTATTAACAGTGGGTTAGGAGGCTTAGAAATGTTGATGTGTTTTGTGTAGAAACGTGAATTCATACACTTACTGAAGGTTGTATGCATGACCGTAAACCATAAACGATACATAACTGATTATTTTTACCACATTTGCCAGTATTTTGCAGATGCAAGGGTGAATACAACAACTAGATGTGGGACTAAAGGCTTTCTGCTGCACAGAAGGCGTGCTATTTGCTAGCCTTATCAAAGGGGCATCTTGGAGACTCGCACATCGGTTGGCCGGCGTGTGACATCTCCCTGCGCGGCTCAGTGCCCGGCTGCAGTCGACAGCTGCACACACACTGCAGTAACTGCCAAACGTGCTCTCTCTTACAGTACAGTACTCTTTCCTGTTTATTTCAGGAGCAATTTGACATGGATTAGGGAGTTGCATCCTGACAGGATGAGGCATCTTTACAAATTGGCAAGGAGGAGATTTTATACATCAGATTACAACAGGAACATAAATAGAATGGCACAAGTATAAATAGATAATGGCAAATACATGTATTTGCATGAAAAAAAGGAAAGAGGAGTGCTGTTTCGTTGTTTGCCCGTCAGAAGCAAATTAGTGTGAAAAATCCTCTGATGCTGATTCATTGATTGTGCTGTCCTGCGTGTGTGTGTCTGTGTATGTGTGTGTGTGTATCCATGTTGAAAGTGGGTGTTGTGGAAAGGTTAAAACCTGTTACCAAGCAGAGATGAGTCACTATATATTAAAAGAACAGCTCCATCTTTAATATGTTTACTCCCTGAGTTGTGCAAACATAACTGCCGCAAACAATGAATATTTCATAAGATTTAAATGGCTCTCCAGCTATTTTAATTGAGTAGCATCAGCTACAGAGCAAAGCACGCAATCAAAGTCTATTGGAATTCCATCCCACATTATAAGGGAGTCTATTAAAGTAAACAAGGACTCATAACCTTCATGCTTTCTCAGTATTGATATCTTCTTGTTCAGCACTGCCATGCCGGCCTCATTCTGCCCCTCCCCAGGTCTTTGGCCTCAGCCTCGGTGTGTCAGTTGCGTGGAGAATAAAACGCGCTTGGCTTCGTTTCATAATTCATTTGGGGCAGAAACGGGTGTCTGGCCTTGTGTTCAACCTCCACAATGGGGTGGCTTCTGCCTCCAGGCAGAGTCATTGCACTTCAATCATCTCAAAAACAAACACACACACAAACACACACACAGTTGTTGGGACAATACATTGGCTTACATTCATTTCCTGAAAACGTACCCCAACCATAACCTCTACCAACCCAATCGCAACCCTAACCCTTGCCGGTATCTAAACCTAAACCTGAAAAAAAACGCTTTCTGTTGAACCCCCCTTTGATGATGGAGGTACATTAGAGCCCCCAAATGGGTCCTACCTTCTGTGTTTTGAATTAATTGCATTAAAATATACAAACTATAAAATATTAGTTTTTCTTGTAAAAAAAAAACCTGCACGTCTAAAATAAATTTATATATTTTCTAACATATATTCTTTCTTAAAAATAAAGTAGCAATGAAATTAACTTAATTCCTACGCAAACAAGTGCGGACAACATTTTTCCTCACATTTAACAGCGGAATTACCTTTTTTCATACATCTGATTATGTTTACATGGTCTTTAATGTGTAAGTGTCTTTAATGGGCTTCATACTGTCTGCCGTCGGTATATTAGGAGACACACAACATAGTGGGGTCTTTCTCCCTGGTTGACCATGGAGCTTGTAAAGCCCTGGGACGGAGATGCCTTTTGTGCTTATGTTGTGGTGCGTTTCTGCAACAGCTGTAACAGAATTGCCATCTCATTTGCGCTTCACACGAGTGAAAAATCTTCCCATATTGGCACATAAAGACAATTATCTTTTCATCTTTCTCTTTCCATGTTGCTCGGTCTCGGTGTGTCTCTCTATCTCTCTCTACACTCGTCTGTAACACGAGCCAGTCTCCACATTTATCTGGCAACAAAGGTTATTACAGGAGATGGATACATTATAATTACCTGGTCTCCTGTCACATCGGAAATAAACCCAGAGAAGAAAATGTTTTCTAAATGTCAAGATGTAGCTGGAAAAATATCCTTCAAAACCTGTCATTGTAGTTTGTGCATACATTGCCTCGGAATAATCCATAACTGTATATTACAGAACACAAGATCCCACATTGCAAATTCCAAAAGCCATCATGGGAAGTATATCTTCATGAGACTTTAAACAACATCGCCGGGCAAGCGACAGACCCGGGACATGTGTTCCATCTACATCCATAATTCATTACCAGATGTTGGTTCGTATTGGTTTCCAGGTATCTGTGGAGATTGCAACTTCCCTGTGGTTTTTGGAGTCATTTACCTTTCTCCTCCGCAGCAGCGCATAACCGCTTGGAGCACAACATCTATTAGCTGCCAGAATCACCACTGAGAGCATTCTTGTTTGCACAACTTATGATTTTCATCATCAGCGCACTAGTGTGACATCTACGATCCTCCTCATCTGTTCTTTTATCCCGTTGTTAAAAGCCGAGCTCAAAGCGAGAAGTAGAACAGTGTGCTTGTGCAACACTGGGATTAGGGCGCACTGAAGGAGAAGCATCCAAACCTCCCTCAACCAGCCAGACGGCAAGATTTTGGCACACCGCCGATTTGTTATGAAGACCTTCTTTTTTCTTTGAAAGGAGGGAAGGGTGGGGTGCGTCGAGGTGGGGAGGGGCGCGGCACGGCTAGTGAACACGGAACATCTTTGAGGACTAAGCCATCGGTGAGGATAAAGTGTGTTATTCTCAGCCAGTGTCCCCGAATCCATTTGAACGCCCACTCAGACACCTACGGGCTGGCTCATCCACAGCCGGATCAGGTCCCACGCTCCATCCATTATGTTCTGCTTGGAATGGATGCCGGTGGATTCCTGCAATCAGGCCACCATTATCAAAGAGAAATGAAGCTAAAGCGGGGCAGGAGAGATATAGGGG